AGTGCCCAGAGTTAGCGTCCTTTTGAGAAAGATTTCAGAGCTGACAGTGGAATTGCTATATCAATTTATATGCTTTTGGAATGTGCGAAATCACCACCACTGCTTAGGAGCCACGGTTTATCTATATGTTTCGCAAGTGCCTGAAACGGTTAAGTCTTAAATATGCGTTATAAGAAAACCAACTAGCAAATTTGTTAGCACTAACAGAATTTCTAACTTTTCTGTCTCCCCAGGAGCTCAAGCATATCAAGATCAAGATCAGTGAAAGGAAAAACGTCTGTTTTGAAGCATTATTCGTTTATCCTTCAATCTAGCTTACAAGCACTTTTGAATAAAAATTGACTTCCATTCTGGAAAAGAAGACTCATTTCCTTGTGATCATGTAAGTCTTTACAAAGAAGGGATTATATGCATTTCTTCTACAAGAAGAAAGGTTTAAGATCGCTTCTTGCCTGACACAGGTACACAGAAAGGAGGCAGGTAGGAATGACCTAGGGAAGTTAATGTTAGGTAATGGCTGTTGAAAATTTGCTCATATCACACCCATAAAATAGTTGATAAATCTTGTAGTTAACATTAATATCCTTATACAAATGGCCAGTAAGCACATGCAGATATGCTCGATGTCATTACCTATCAGCAAAACGCACATCAAAACCACAGGGAGGTACTATGTCACAGTACTGTGATGAGTATAATAGAAGAGACAGATTATAACAAGTGTTAGTGAGGATGTGGAGAATTTAGAACCCTCATACACTACTGGTGGGAATGTAAAATGGTGTATCCCCTTTGCTAAACAGTCTGGCAATTCCTCAAAGGGTTAAACATAGAGTTACCATATGATCCAGCGATCATACCTTTACATATATATGCAAAAGGTATGAAAACATATGTCCAAACAAAAATTTGTACATGAATGTTCCTAACGACATTAGGTATAGTAGCTAAAAGGTAGGGAAAGACCCCAATAACCTTTAACTGGTCCATTTTGTTTATCCATACCATTGTATGGATATACCACATTTTGAAACATGAAGTCAAAGGAGAAAGTATGAAAAACTTAAAGGCATCTTCTTTTTCCTGGACACTTCAGTGTATATATTCATGCCCTGTGATATATCCATACAATGGTATAGCATAGCTATACAAAATCATTCAACAGTAAAATACAATGGAGTACTGATATATGCTACAAAATGGATAAAGCCTGAAAATGTCAGGCGTAATGAAAGAAGCTAGACAGAAAAGGCCACATGTTGCATGATTCCAATTATATGAAACATCCAGAATAGGTAAATGTATATGGACAGAAAATAGATCATTGGTTGCTCTGGTTGGTGGAAGAGAATTACAGGAAATGAGTTACAGGTTGAGGGTTTGGTGTTTCTCTTTGGGGTGATGTAAATATTCTGTAATCACTTCCCACGTTGGTGGTACGACTTTGTGAATATACTAAAGACTACTGACTTTTAGCATATTTTAAATGGGTGCATTGTATGATTTGTGAGATATAGCACAATAAAGCTGTTACAAAATCTAATTACTAGAACCAGAAGTCTAAGTCATGTTTAATAGTTCATTAACATTGTCAGGCCTCAGTTTCAAAAGTTACCAATTTTAGAACGGAATCTACTCTGCAACCATTAAACAATTTTTTTAATGTTTATTTTTGACAGAGAGAGCGCGCGCGTGCATGAGTGGGGGAGGGGCAGAGAGAGGGAGACACAGAATCCGAAGCAGGCTCCAGGCTCTGAGCCGTCAGCACAGAGCCCGACGCGGGGCTGGAACTCACAAACCGCGAGATCATGACCTGAGTTGAAGTTGGATGCTTAACCGACTGAACCACCCAAGCACCCCTCTGCAACCATTTTTTAAAAGATGTATTTTATTTTGAGAGAGGGAGAAAGAGAGAATCTCAAGCAGGCTCCACACTCAGCGCAGAGCCTGACTCAGGGCTCGATCCCACAACCCTGGGTTCATGACCTGAGCCCAAATCAAGAATTGGACGCTCAACGGACTGAGCCACCCAGATGCCCCACAACTGTTTTGTTTTTATTACTGCTTGTTGCATCTCCTTCAGCTCAAAATGAAATCTTTGGAATTCATTTGTAGTATCAACAAAATCAAGGAGATAGTCCACTGTCTTACAGTAGATACTCGAAATACTGGAGTCTGTTTTTCATTAGTCTCTCTTACTGGACAACTGCCTTTGTAGTCTTCATTCCCATTTAGCCACATCCTATCTTTTTCCAAGTTGGCTTCTAATTCTCCACATTTCTCAAGAATTTATCTACAACTGTCCTCTTCAAAGCCTTTCAGACCCTACTCAGTTTCCTTTCTATAAAGATTTCCTAGGAAGCTGCTATAGTTATTTGTTTTACTTCATCTCAACTCTTGGCCCAGTTAAAAATCACATTTTTGTGTTGTGGATTTTAATTCTGGAAACTCCTTTTCCTTGTCTTGCTCATTGCAATCTTATTCAAAATTATGACTTTCTTCAAGTTGTTTCCAGTTAAGGATCATACCTTGATTCCTTGGGTGAATCAAGGTTGAAGTGTTTAAGGGAAGGAAAATGACTTACAGATTTTACGTCGTTTCTCTTTTAGTGTTTCAAACATATCCGCCAAAATTTAACTATAAATGGCATCTAGGTGTCATGGGTTTAATTAGAAACCTTTAATTTTGCAGTTTTATAAAAGAGAACATGACTCAATGTATGGTTTTCCTATTAATAATATTAACAATATATAATGAAATGTATTTTAAGTAAATTACAACTTGTCTTCCTGGAGTCTATAGTCCTTTTATTTATTTTTATTTTTATTTTTTTAACATTTATTTATTTTGAGAGACAGAGACAGAGTGCGAGCAGGGGAGGAGCGGAGAGAGAGAAGGAGACACAGAATCTGAAGCAGGCTCCCGGCTCCAGGCTCCAGGCTCCAGGCTCCAGGCTCCAGGCTCCAGGCTCC